CTAAAGAAGGCCGAAATTAGCGTGGCAGCTATAACAGATCTGTTAAAGAAGGCTGAGTGCTGTTGCTGTCGAGTCTTCAAGCCAGACATTACACAGTTGAATCGCAGCTTTTGTAAACTAGTTTGTTTTCTTCTGCCTTTCCAGATATCAACAACTGTCCAGGTTTCTGCATGGGATGATTTTGCACTTAATTCCACGGGCATTTGGTAGATTCTCTGCACGCGAGCTTTGTTTTCTGCGCACACACTGCAGCGGTACTTCCAGCTCCCCGCCTCGTTCAGGTTGAAGGTAATCGCCTGGCACCCCATACAGGTTCAGGAGAAGCGAACCAGCTGGGCAATTAAGCGCCCCTTCTGGCCTCAATCCAGCTCTTGGCTTCGCTCACGCTGATGATAATAAGCACCTGGCACCGCATACAGGTTGACGATAAGCGTACTAGCCGGGTAAGCGGGCCTTCCAGCCTCATTCCAGCTCCTCGCTTCGTTCGGATAAGCACCTAGCATCCCAAACACGTTGAGGATGAGAGCACCAGCCGGTAAGCGCTCCCTCTGGCCTCGCTACAGCTCCCTGCTTCGTTTAGGTTGAGAATGAGGATAAGCACTTGGCACCCCATACAGGATATGTCGGGTCAGTGACCCTTCCGGCCTCATTTGAGCTCCCTGCTTCGTTCAGGTTGAGGATAAGCACCTGGTACCCCAAACAGGTTCAGGAGAAGCGAACCAGCCGGGTTTTCGGGTTGGGGACGACACCTGGCACCCCACACAGGTTGAGAGTAAGCCGGGCAAGCGGTTCCGGCCTCGTTCCGGCTGAGGACAAGCATCTGGCATCCCAGACGTTGAGGATAAGCGGGTCAGTGACCCTTCCGGCCTCATTCCAGCTCCCGGCCTCGTTCAGGTTGAGGATGAGCACTTGGCACCCCGGGCATAAGCGAACCAGCCGAGTAAGCGGGTCTTCCGGCTTCATTCCAGCCTCCAGCTTCGTTTTGATTTCGGTCGAATACTATACACGAGCGGGTGAACCCCGCTCAGGGATGATTTTTGCAAAGGCTGGCACTGATTGCTTGGGCATCTTTGCATCCTTTTCCAAGGCTCTCTTAATGATGTCGCTGTGTTTCCTCCCTCTCGTCCCCCCTTCGATCTAGAAGTCCCCCTGTCCCCTCCCTTCGTCCCTCTGGGGGGTGGAAGGGTTGGTGGGGCGGGGGGAAGTGTGCTTTGGAACCCAAGGACTGTAGCGGCTTGCCTCCATGGACGCTTCAATGCACAGGCGCAATCCAATGTGTTGCATGCATGTTCGGCAATCCTATTCAGACTGACGACGCTAGTTCAGCTGGCAATGTGGCTTCCACGCCAGCGGTGGGATGTGCTTGACTGGAGTGGCAGATGGCTTTGGAGTCTGGGTTGCGTGAAACTCCAGCTTTAACTTTGAACCCTACACAGTTTCGAACACCGCCGACATGCATCTTAACGCTCTCGACGCTCTACGTGGCTGCAAACATCGCCAAGCACCACACCGTGCTCTTTCATTTTTCGACTCGGTTTTCGGAAAGTCTCGCCGGCAAGTTCCCCGAATCAGATGTTTCATATCAAGAAACCGACCTTGGTCGTCAAACATAATTATGTTTCGGCTGTGCGCTTCCTCGGTGTTTTTGCATGCTGAGGCAATGATGACTATCTTCAATCACGCTTCCGGCTATTGTCCATCGACCTGCAGTCAATGTCGCTCGACCGTTCCTCCCGAGGCGTGACAATGCGATCGAAAACTAAGACTGCCACGACGAGCACGATCTTGTCCGGACTCGCATGCTCGTAAGCTTGACTTTGTGCACCTGTCGTGTATTCGGTTTTAACTCACGAACCACTGCGCCTCGTCTCTCTGCGGTGCACTGAGTCGCAGACTCACAACCCGGCCGTGCTGGTCGAAAGCCATTGCGTCCGCTGCTGGTACGACAGCGTCCACTGCTAATGCGGGCGGACGTGTTGCGTTTAGCAGGTACTCCTCGAGCAGATCGCTTGGCAAGCAAGTTTGACACGCGTATCTGCATTGCTAGGATGATACACGGGCACTGTGAAGGTGCATCCCGGCCTGGAAACACCATACTGAACCTCCCGGATAATGGATATCCAGCAAAAGTTGTGGTTCTACGGTCCTTATCATCCAGATGATCTTAGTGCAGGCGCGAGGCCGCGTGACGACTTGGGCACGTGCTTTTCTCGCACTCGTCTTGCGCTTGTACTTGGTTCATTGGACCGTTGCGAGGCATGTTCACTCCATCGGACTTCTGAGGCTCGCACGGACCATCTATAGGAGCTCCCCAGCGCATCATTCCGGAATGTGAATGTTTTATAAGAGTTACACTTGTCTTCCACTAAGTCCTAGTCTAGTTTCACTACATAGCGATTCTCAGCACCCATTCACTGCAAACATGCTCCAAACACCCCCCCGCCCCCCAGCCCTTACCTGTCCCCAACCCCCCCTCCCCCGTCCCTCCCCTCCATCGGAAAGGCGAGAGGTCTGAGTCGCGAGAGCGCAGAGCCCCAAGCTCACCCCCGATTGAGCCCTTGAGGTGGGGTGGGTGGGGTGGGGTGGGGTGTGGGTCCAGATCGATTAGCAGGCACCTTTTGCTCCACTTCACTCCTTCAACTTCACTCCTTCAATGCACCGGGTGGCGGGTGGGGTGGGAAGGGTGGGTGCAGTGGGGGGTGGGGAGGTGGGGGGAGGGTGGGGTGGGGTGCCCCCAACCCCAAGCCCCCCAGCGTGGGGGTGTGGGGGGGTGGGGGTGGGGGCGGGGGGGAGGCTCGGGGATCGGAAACTTCGGAAACAACGGAAACAACGGTCTGGAAACTTCCGCTACGGTCTGGAAACTTCCGCTCGGAAACAACGGTCTGGAAACTTCCGCTCGGAAACAACGGTCTGGAAACTTCCGCTCGGAAACAACGGTCTGGAAACTTCCGCTCGGAAACAACGGTCTGGAAACTTCCGCTCGGAAACAACGGTCCGGAAACTTCCGCTCGGAAACAACGGTTCTGAAACTTCTCTTATTAAGGCTTTGTTAAGCCCTTATTAAGCCTTATTAAGCCCTTATTAAAGCCTTATTAAGCCCTTATTAAAGCCTTATTAAGCCCTGATTAAAGCCTTATTAAGGCTTTATGAAGCTCTTATTAAGCCTTATTAAGCCCTTATTAAGGCCTTATCAAGCCCTTATTAAGGCCTTATTATAAGCCAATGTGGTGGAGTGGGGTGGGGTGTGGGGTGGGGTGGGTGGCCCTCCGACAGCCCCCTCCCGCGTCCATTAAGGTTTGGCCTCTCCCTCCCCCCTCCCAACCCGCCCTCTCCCCCCCCTCCCCCACCCAACCCCCAACTCGCTGGCCCCCCCTTGCCCCTTCCCCCCTGTGGGGTGGGCTGGGGTGGGGTGGGGTGGGGTGAGGGTGGGGGTGTGCCATGGTGGGGGTGGGAAACTTCTGCTCGGAAACAACGGTCTGGAAACTTCCGCTCGGAAACAGCGGTCTGGAAACTTCCGCTCGGAAACAACGGTCTGGAAACTTCCGCTTGGAAACAACGGTCTGGAAACTTCCGCTCGGAAACAACGGTCTGGAAACTTCCGCTCGGAAACAACGGTCTGGAAACTTCCGCTCGGAAACAACGGTCCGAAAACTTCCGCTCGGAAACAACGGTTCTGAAACTTCTCTTATTAAAGCTTTGTTAAGCCCTTATTAAGCCTTATTAAGCCCTTGTTAAAGCCTTATCAAGCCCTTATTAAAGCCTTATTAAGCCCTTATTAAGGCTTTATTAAGGCTTTATGAAGCTCTTATTAAGCCTTATTAAGCCCTTATTAAGGCCTTATTAAGCCCTTATTAAGGCCTTATTATAAGCCCCTGGTGGGGTGGGTGGGGGGTGGGTGGTGTGGTGGGGTGGGGCGGGGTGGGTGGGGTGGGGTGGGGTGGGGCGGGGTGGGTGGGGGGGGGTGGGAGGAGGGGTGGGGTGGGTGGGGTGGGGTCAGTGGGGGGGGTGGGGGTGGGGGCGGGGGGGAGGCTCGGGGCTCGGAAACTTCGGAAACAACGGTCTGGAAACTTCCGCTCGGAAACAACGATCTGGAAACTTCCGCTCGGCAACAACGGTCTGGAAACTTCCGCTCGGAAACAACGGTCTGGAAACTTCCGCTCGGAAACAACGGTCTGGAAACTTCCGCTCGGAAACAACGGTCTGGAAACTTCCGCTCGGAAACAAGGGTCTGGAAACTTCCGCTCGGAAACAAGGGTCTGGAAACTTCCGCTCGGAAACAACGGTCTGGAAACTTCCGCTCGGAAACAACGGTCCGGAAACTTCCGCTCGGAAACAACGGTTCTGAAACTTCTCTTATTAAGGCTTTATCAAGCCCTTATTAAGCCTTATTAAGCCCTTATTAAAGCCTTATTGAGCCCGTATTAAAGCTTTATTAAGCCCTTATTAAGGCCTTATTAAGGTTTTATGAAGCTTTTATTAAGCCTTATTAAGCCTTATTAAGCCCTTATTAAGGCCTTATTAAGCCTTTATTAAAGCCTTATTATAAGCCCCTGGTGGGGTGGGTGGGGGGTGGGTGGGGTGGTGGGGTGGGGTGGGGTGGGGTGGGAGTGGGGTGGTGGAGCCCCCAACTCGCCCTCTGTGGGGCCGCCCCCCCCCCCACCCTCCCCCCCTCCCTCCCCCTCCCCACCCGGTGCCTCCTCCGGAGGGTGGCACGAGTCTCACGGGGGGTAGTGGGCAGAGAGGGTCCCCCCCCTCCCTCCCCCCTTCCCTCCCCCTCCCCCTCCATCCGCTCTGCCCCTCCCACCCCCTTCCCACCCTCCCCTCCCAACCCGCTCACTTAGACCGCAACCAGCGTGGAGTGCCAGGTGCGTATCCTCAAGAAGAAGAAGGCCGGGAGCGGGAACGAAGCCGTGCAGGCTCGCCTGCATGGTGTCCCAGGTACGTGGTCCCAACCCCAAGAAGACCGAAGTGAGGAGGTGAGCGCTGATTATCCTCAACCAATGTGGGGTCCCAGGTGCGTGGTCTCAGTCGAAGAAGGCGGAGGCAGGGACGAGGCCGGAGCACTTATCCTCACCCAATATGGGGTCCCAGGTGCGTGGTCTCAGCCCGAAGAAGGCGACGAGGCCGGAGCGCTTATCCTCAACCAATATGTTCCAGGCGCGTGCTCGGAGGCGGGAGCGCTTATCCTCAACCAATATGGGGTCCCAGGTGCGTGCTCTCGCGGACCAGGCCGGCGCAATATGGGGTTCCAGGCGCGTGGTCTCAGCCCGAAGAAGGCGGAGGCGGGGACGAGGCCGGAGCTGGGGTCCCAGGTGCGTGCTCGGCAGGGACGAGGCCGGAGCGCTTATCCTCAACCAATAAGGGGTCCCAGGTGCGAAAGCGGAGGCGGGGACGAGGCCGGAGCGCTTATCCTCGACCAACGTGGAGTCCCAGGTACGCGATCTCGGCCCGAAGAAGGTGAAGGTGGGGACGAGGGCGGAGCACTTATCCTCAACCGATATGGGGTCCTAGGTGCGTGCCCTACCGCAGCGTGCATCAGTGCCAGGTGCTTGAAGCCAGAAGAAGGCGAGCTTCAAGAGGAGGCGACAACAAGCTCGAAGGACTTACTCTCAGAATACGTTCTCGGCGCGTGGTCTCAACCTGAAGAAGACAGAGGCGGCGACAAGGCCGGATCGCCTATCCTCAACTGTCATGGGTTCCCAGGTTCGTGGTCTGGAGAGAACAGAAGCCGAGACCAGGCCGGAGTGCCTATCCTCAATCAATATGGGGTCCCAGGTGCGCGGTCTCAACTTGAAGAGGATGGAGGCGGGAACCAGGCCGGAGCACTTCTCCTCAACCAATATCGGGTCCGAGGTGCGTGGTCTCAACTCGAACAGGACGGAGGCGAGGAGAGGCCGGAGTGCCTATCCTCAACCAAGATAGGGTCCCAGGTGCATGGTTTCATCTTGGAGAAAAGAGAAAGGACGAGGCCTCAACCAATATGAGGTCCGAGGTGCGTGACCCCAGCAAAAAGACGACGGAGGCAAGGACAAGGCCGGGGTTCGAAGTGCGTGGCCCCAGGAAGCTCAAGCTGAAGAAGACAGAGGCAAGAACGAGGCCGGGAGGGCTTATCCTCAACCAATATAAGTTTCCGAGGCGTGGAAGCTCAAGATGAAGAAGGGCAAGGACAAGGCCGGGAGGGTTTATCATCAACCAATATGGGTTTCCAAGACGTGGGGTCTCAAGCTGCAGAAGCGCAATGACAAGGCCGGGAGGGTTTATCCTCAACTAGTATGGGTTTCCGAGGTGTGGAAGCTCACAAGTCGAAGAAGACAGAGGCAAGGACAAGGCCGGGAGGGTTTATACTCAACCAGTATGGGTTTCCGAGGTGCGGAAGCTCACAAGTCGAAGAAGACAGAGGCAACGGCAAGGCCGGGAGAGCTTATCCTCAACCGATGTGGGTTTCCGAGGTGCGGAAGCTCACAAGTCGAAGAAGACAGAGGCAACGGCAAGGCCGGGAGAGCTTATCCTCAACCGATGTGGGTTTCCGGGGTGTGGAAGCTCCAGCCGAAGAAGACAGAGGCAGGGACAAGGCGGGAAGGCTTATCCTCAACCGGTATGGGGTTCCGAGGTGTGGGAGCTCAAGCCGAAGAAGACAGAGGCAAGGACAATCCAGGGTATGGAAGCTTGAGCCTCAACCAATGTGGGTTGCCGAGGTGTGTGGTCTCAGCGACAAGGCTGAGAGGGCTTATCCGGAGAGCTTTCCTCAAACAAAACAGGAACCTGAAGGTATGCAGTTCAGGAGCTAGCCGACCTTCCCCCTCCCCCTCCCTCCCCCTCCCATGCCCTATTGACGGCCTCCCTTCCAGAGGTGGCACGAATTCTGAGGGAAGGTAGTGGCAGAAATCAATGGGGTGCGGGGTCTCCCCCCCGCCCCCCCTCCCCCGCCCTCCCCCCCCCCCTCCTGGGCCGGGAGGGTAGTGGCAGACACCAAAAAAAAATCCTCAACTAAAATGGGGCGTTGGTTCCCGCCCCTCCCCGCCCCCCTCCCCCACCCTCCCCCCCTCCCTCCCCCTCCCCACCCGGTGCCTCCTCCGGAGGGTGGCACGAGTCTCACGGGGGGGTAGTGGGCAGACACCAAAAAACAATCCTCAACAAAAAAGGGGTGTGGGGCTCCCCCGCACCCCTCCCCACCCTCCCCCCCCTCCCTCCCCCCCACCCGGTGCCCCCTCCGGAGGGTCCCCCCCCTCCCTCCCCCCCTTCCCTCCCCCGCTCCCTTCCCTCCCCGCTCACTTAGACCGCAACCAGCGTGGAGTGCCAGGTGCGTATCCTCAAGAAGAAAAAGGCCGGGAGCGGGAACGAAGCCGTGCAGGCTCGCCTGCATGGTTTCCCAGGTACGTGGTCCCAACCCCAAGAAGACCGAAGTGAGGAGGTGAGCGCTGATTATCCTCAACCAATGTGGGGTCCCAGGTGCGTGGTCTCAGTCGAAGAAGGCGGAGGCAGGCACGAGGCCGGAGCACTTATCCTCACCCAATATGGGGTCCCAGGTGCGTGGTCTCAGCCCGAAGAAGGCGACGAGGCCGGAGCGCTTTCCTCAACCAATATGTTCCAGGCGCGTGCTCGGAGGCGGGAGCGCTTATCCTCAACCAATATGGGGTCCCAGGTGCGTGCTCTCGCGGACCAGGCCGGCGCAATATGGGGTTCCAGGCGCGTGGTCTCAGCCCGAGCTCGGCAGGGACGAGGCCGGAGCGCTTATCCTCAACCAATAAGGGGTCCCAGGTGCGAAAGCGGAGGCGGGGACGAGGCCGGAGCGCTTATCCTCGACCAACGTGGAGTCCCAGGTACGCGATCTCGGCCCGAAGAAGGTGAAGGTGGGGACGAGGGCGGAGCACTTATCCTCAACCGATATGGGCTCCTAGGTGCGTGCCCTACCGCAGCGTGCATCAGTGCCAGGTGCTTGAAGCCAGACGAAGGCGAGCTTCAAGAGGAGGCGACAACAAGCTCGAAGGACTTACTCTCAGAATACGTTCTCGGCGCGTGGTCTCAACCTGAAGAAGACAGAGGCGGCGACAAGGCCGGATCGCCTATCCTCAACTGTCATGGGTTGCCAGGTTCGTGGTCTGGAGAGAACAGAAGCCGAGACCAGGCCGGAGTGCCTATCCTCAATCAATATGGGGTCCCAGGTGCGCGGTCTCAACTTGAAGAGGATGGAGGCGGGAACCAGGCCGGAGCACTTCTCCTCAACCAAAACCGGGTCTGAGGTGCGTGGTCTCAACTCGAACAGGACGGAGGCGAGGAGAGGCCGGAGTGCCTATCCTCAACCAAGATAGGGTCCCAGGTGCATGGTTTCATCTTGGAGAAAAGAGAAAGGACGAGGCCTAAACCAATATGAGGTCCGAGGTGCGTGACCCCAGCAAAAAGACGACGGAGGCAAGGACAAGGCCGGGGTTCGAAGTGCGTGGCCCCAGGAAGCTCAAGCTGAAGAAGACAGAGGTAAGAACGAGGCCGGGAGGGCTTATCCTCAACCAATATAAGTTTCCGAGGCAAGGACAAGGCCGGGAAGGCCCATCCTCAACCAACATGGGGTTCCGAGGTGTGGAAGTTCAAGCTGAAGAAGACACAGGTAGGGACAAGGCCGGGGGGGGGCTCATCCTCAACCAGTATGGGTTTCCGAGGCGTGGAAGCTCAAGCTGAAGAAGGGCAAGGACAAGGCCGGGAGGGTGTATCATCAACCAATATGGGTGTCCAAGACGTGGGGTCTCAGGCTGCAGAAGCGCAGCGACAAGGCCGGGAGGGTTTATCCTCAACTAGTACGGGTTTCCGAGGCGTGGAAGCTCACAAATCGAAGAAGACAGAGGCAAGGATAAGGCCGGGAGGGTTTATACTCAACCGATGTGGGTTTCCGGGGTATGGAAGCTCCAGCCGAAGAAGACAGAGGCAGAGACAAGGCGGGAAGGCTTATCCTCAACCGGTATGGGGTTCCGAGGTGTGGAAGTTCAAGCCGAAGAAGACAGAGGCAAGGACAATCCAAGGTATGGAAGCTTGAGCCTCAACCAATGTGGTTGCCGAGGTGTGTGGTCTCAGCGACAAGGCCGAGAGAACAATCCTCAACTAAAATGGGGTGTGGGGTCTTCCCCCCGCCCCCCCTCCCCCTGAGCGCCCTCCCCCCACACCAAAAAACAATCCTCACTGAAATGGTGTTGGTTCCCACCCCTCCCCGGCCCCCTCCCCCACCCTCCCCCCTTCCCTCCCCCTCCCCACCCGGTGCCTCCTCCGGGGGGTGGCACGAGTCTCACGGGGGGTAGTGGGCAGACGCACGAGTCTCACGGGGGGTAGTGGGCAGACACCAAAAAACAATCCTCAACTAAAATGGGGTGTGGGTTCCCCTTCCCCCGCACCCCTCCCCCCCCTCCCTGCCCCCCCCCCACCCGGTGCCCCCTCCGGAGGGTCCCCCCCCTCCCTCCCCCCCTTCCCTCCCCCGCTCCCTTCCCTCCCCCTCGCTCTGCCCCTCCCACCCCCCCTCCCAAACCCGCTCACTTAGACCGCTACCTGCGTGGAGTGCCTGGTGCGTATCCTCAAGAAGAAAAAGGCCGGGAGCGGGAACGAAGCCGTGCAGGCTCGCCTGCATGGTGTCCCAGGTACGTGGTCCCAACCCCAAGAAGACCGAAGTGAGGAGGTGAGCGCTGATTATCCTCAACCAATGTGGGGTCCCAGGTGCGTGGTCGCAGTCGAAGAAGGCGGAGGCAGGGACGAGGCCGGAGCACTTATCCTCACCCAATATGGGGTCCCAGGTGCGTGGTCTCAGCCCGAAGAAGGCGACGAGGCCGGAGCGCTTATCCTCAACCAATATGTTCCAGGCGCGTGCTCGGAGGCGGGAGCGCTTAGCCTCAACCAATATGGGGTCCCAGGTGCGTGCTCTCGCGGACCAGGCCGGCGCAATATGGGGTTCCAGGCGCGTGGTCTCAGCCCGAAGAAGGCGGAGGCGGGGACGAGGCCGG